CCGGCCGTTCCCTAGTAGCGCGGGGCGGTGCCACGGCGCTCCCTTCCACCGGCTGCCATGAGCGAGCGCCTGCGCCCCAGGAAAAGGAGAAGGAATGGCAATGAAGAGGACCACCACCTTCCCCCGCAGACCAAGAGGAGCAGCCGAAACGCTGTCTTCCAGGAGTCCTGGGACACGGAGTCTTCCAGCAGTGACAGTGGTGGGAGCAGCAGCAGCAGCGGCAGCAACATCAACAGCCCGGACAGAGCCAGCGGCCGGAGAGCAGCTTAAGTCAGACCATGGCCGGATCCAGCCCCAACACCCCGCAGCCCATGCCCGAGCAGTCCGCTCTGTGCCAAGGCCCGTACTTTCACATCAACCAGACCCTGAAGGAGGCCCACTTCCACAGCCTACACCTCCGGGGGCGGCCTCCGACCTGACGCGCCGCAGCGGCTTGCCTTCTGTGAAGGGACAGTGCTGTGCGAATTTTTCAACCTTTGATCTGTTTTTAAAAAAAATTGCACACACACACACACACACACACACACACACACAATGCCTGTTGGCCTTTCAGTCTATATTTGAAATACCAGGTCAACAGGTAGTTGTTTACTTGTGGTTTTGCTGCACTATTGCAACTTCAAAGGGGCTTTGAAGCAGTTTTTATAGGAGTCTGGAGGGAGGTATTGGCTCCGTGTCCAGGTGGTAGAGTGAGGAACCCTCATCTGTGTGTTCAATCCATAGTACGTCCAGTTTAGACTGACTTCCAGATCTGCCCAGTAAGTCTACTTTATGTAAAAGAGCCTTTTAAAAAATGTGGCATCTTCAATTTTTTTAAATAAACTAGTAAAGAGTAAAAAAAAAAAAAAAGATTTCCAGACTGGCTGCAGGCCCCAGGCTGGCAGACCCAGGGGCCTCTCTGGATCTGCCCAAAGGAGAAAAAGAACAATAAGCAATCGAATGTATTGATAAAGTGCTGAATGAAACAGACTAACTTAATGATCAGAGCTTATATTCCTAACACAAGTAAGGTTAACTTGGTGCCATGGGGGCAGCAACCTCAAAGTTTAGTGTAAACTGGATTTCAGTGCAGGGTACCTGAGCTTCAGCTTTGCAGAGGGCACAGACTGCTGATCCCGATGTGGCAGAGAAATTAGCAGTTTCAAGTATAAACAACGTACCTGCCAGCAGTGAGGCTGCAATGCCCACACTGCTCTCCATTCAGTCCTTCAAATGTCACCAGAAGGGTATTTTTGCCATAGTGAAAGTAGAGCCCAGAGTGCCAAAGTAACTTACCCAAAGTCAAACAGCTAATAGGTCGCAAAGGCCCTTGATAACAACTGCACAAGTTGTCATTGCTGGGGCAACACTGCCACCCTGTGGATGCCAGAAGCAATCCTGTATTGTTTATGCATTTGATGGGTGGAAGCAGAACATCTGCAGGATGAATGTTCCAGACTAAACTACAATATAGCATTGGTCCAGATAAAGTCCACTCTGGTCAGTCAAGAAAATCCTCATGCCCCACTGTTGTGGGGCAATGCGATAAGCTGGCTGCCTATACCAGCATTCCAGATGAGTGCGGGTTTAAGTTCCAACTGATGAATTTCAAATCCATCTCCCAGCGAATGTGCCTGGGAGAATTGAAAAAGACCGTCCAAGCACTTGGGCACCCACGACCCATGTGGGATAAACAGATGGAGTTAATCCAAGCTCTTTACTTTGCTTTTCCTAGTCCAAGCCACTGTGGCCATTTGGGAATGAGCCAGTGAATAGAAGCACACTGTTTCTGTGTGTCTCTCCAACTCTGTAACTCTGCCTTTCAAATAATAAATCATTTTCTTTAAAAAATAAAATGTGCAAGAGAAACCAAGAAAGGCATCCCAGCCATAGGTCCAAATAAACTTCAAATAAAACCTTCCTTTCACTCACCTCTTCCTTCAGTCTCTTGAGCTCTCTAAAAGAATTCCACAACTACTTTCCAGAAGCAGAGATTCTTCACAGCTCTCTACACACAACTTCTATAGCTGGCTGTGAACTCCTGCAATAAGATAGTGTCACGGGTCCAGGATCTGCCCCATGCTGTGCATCACTAGCCAATGCCACCCATGGCAAATTTCCAGGAGCTGCCGAAAGGTTTTCCTAGAACCAGCAGCCTTTTAGAAGCAGAGCATTCAGAAACACAAGTGGGAGGCTGCTAGGCGACTTGGGGCAGGCCCTGTCTCTACCAGCAGGAGAAACTCCTTGGTTTCAACATCATAAGGATTCTTTCCCCCTTGGTAACCTGAGCCACAGCCTCTTGTCAGGTTTCTAGATCACTTTGAGCCTGAAACCAGATGCACTCCCTGACAAAGGCACCTGAGGGTCCAGCAAGAAAAACAAGCCTCAGCAGGAATCAGAGTTCTTGGGGCTCCAGGACCAAGTTGGTGAGCTCACCTTCATGCTGGGAAGAGCTGTCTCCAGTACCTTGACCTCAGTGGGCCTGAGTCACTGCAGCCTCTGCCCCATCTCACTTCCACCAACAGCACCCCGGAAGCCCAAGAACAGACAGGGTTTTTTTAATTTTCTCTCTCTGTATTGAACTCACACATGACTAGGTCCCAGCTCCAACACAATACTCGCATAAAAGATTTTTTTTAAAGATTTATTTATTTTTATTAGAAAGGCAGATTACAGAGAGGAGGAAAGACAGAGAAGATCTTCCGTCTGATAGTTCACTCCCCAAGCGGCTGCAATGGCTGGAGCTGAGTCTACCCAAAGCCAGGAGCTTCTTCCAGGTCTCCCATGTGGGTGCAGGGTCCCAAAGCCTTGGGCCGTCCTCGACTGCTTCCCCAGGCCACAAGCAGGGAGCTGGATGGGAAGTGGGGCTGCCAGGACACGAACCAGCACCCATATGGGATCCCGGCGAGGACTTTTAACCGTTACGCTATTGCGCCAGGCCCTAGCATAAAAGTTTGATGTTCACAGAACGGTGCCAGCCTGAGACAAAGATGAGCACTGCCTTTTCTGAATGACATCACTGTATGCAATGGCATCAAATGAACACCTACCACAACACAGGTGCAGAATTCAAAAGGAAAATCTTCATCTAAGGGGCAGAACTAGTGAGGAAACAATTGGAAAACAAGGGGGATAGAGCCAATGTGAGAAACTTTGAGCCACGAGAGACCTCTGGTAGCTGTGGAATGTGGAGAGGAATGGGTGGAATATTAGACTGGAACACAAGTAATCACTACAACAAACCAAAGGCAACTGACCTGTGGACAGATGGCTGAAGTCAAAAGCCCTAGAGAATTTTTATTAAAATGTAAATTCCTATATATTGAAAAAAAAATAGTCCCCCAAAAATCTGTTAGAATAAGCTGTTTGAGTAGCTTCCAGTTCCAAAATGAACATACAACAAAACAAGCTTTTTATGTAAATAATGAACCATCAAAAATGAGAAAGTTCACTTATAATAGCCATAATCAACAAATATTTAGGAATAAAAGTAGAAAAAGAAATCAAATATTTCTACAAGGAAAATTATGAAGGATTGATGAATGAAAACATCAAGGACAAATGAAAAATGGGAAGATATTCTTTGCTCACTGATCGCAATAACTGAGATAATTTAAAAGTTTATACTATCTAAAGCGATCTAGAGATTCAACACAAGCTCTGTCAAAATACCAATGACATTCTTTACAAATTTAAAGAAAAACATCCCGGGGTCAGTGTGACAGTGCAGCAGACTAAGTCACTGCCTGTGACACCAGCTTTCCATAGGCTGGTTGGGCTTAATATTCTTTCTGTAGGCTAGGTTGGGCTTAATATTCCTTTTCTACATTCTTGCCTATTACTCAGAATGCATTCTAAATATAGACAAAAATACTAATCACACACAGTTAAAAAGTTTACTTGATTTTTAAAGATTTATTTTTATTTTTATTGGAAAGTCACATATACAGAGAGAAGAGACAGAGAGGAAGATCTCCCACCCACGGATTCACTCCCCAACTGGCCACAACGGCCAGATCTGCACAAATCCGAAGCCAGAAGACAGGAGCTTCGTCCAGGTCTCCCACGCGGGTGCAGGGTCCCAAGGCTTTGGGCCGTCCGCAACTGCTTTCTCAGGCCACAAGCAGGCAACTGGGTGGGAAATGGAGGCGAGGACTTCAGGCACTAAGCTACTGCGTCGGGCCCTAGATAATTGTCTAAATTATAAATTTAAAAAGGGAAATGCCTGTGTGCATCAGTATTGGTGCAAAAATTTGTCAAACTTTGTGTCATATCTTTGTTAAATAAATGGTTAAGAATGACATAGTATCATAGTTGTAATGATATGACTGCATTAAAAATTGTATCTATGGAATTGACATTTTTATTTGATTATTGTTTATAGCCCTTGCCTATATTCCTGCTGAAATATCATCCTTTTATCTTTTAATCTTTGAAGCCTCTATTTAGTAGAGCAGTAAACTTATGATTTTGATGTAATTTTAAAATGTCATCTCAAGAACAATAAATAAATAAATGGTTAAGTACAAAAATACCTACTTTATCATTCCTTCTTGCTTCATGGCTGCAGCACTAGTACTAACTGGGGCAGGAATTTATTCAATCAACTCATTATTTAAAATAAACAAAATGCAAATTCCTTGGCTTGTGACATCCAATATATCAGAGTGTCTTGGTAAGGCCAAAATATCTGAGCATTTTTAAGACACTCTAGCAAGAAATTGTCCCCAGGGGAGGGTTAAGAATCTTTGACCCGGCCATAATATAACTAACGGAGATTTCCAAATCGCTTTTATTACGCCAAGGCTGATCCACCACAAGTCCTCTCTTGGCTCCTGACCCCCTTCTCTGGGACCAAGCAATGCTTTGACCGGAAACGGGAGCATTTCCAAAACAGTTTGAATTCGGCAGAGGCCAGAGAGAATCCCAGCCCCTATCGCGTCAGCATCCACAATGCGGTGGGCGGCGCGAGACGTGCCGGGAGCTGTAGTCCGCAACGCGGTCCCGCGCCTGCGCCCTGTGCAGTAGCGAGAGAGCTCGGGAGAGCTGTGGGCGCTGAGCCGGTGAGTCTCGGGCGGCCAGAGGGCGTGGCCGTCCCTGGGGCGCGGGCGCGGGTAACGGGGCTCCCTTCACCGGCCCGAGCTGTGCCAGCTGGTGAATTGCAGCTGTGCCCCGGGCGGCGGGCGCCGGCGGCTCTCGGCGGGTGCCACGAGGAGCGAGGGGGCTGCGGGCCCCTCTCCGGGCAGGGTCTCCGTCGCTGCTCCTCGAGACCTGGCCAAGGCCTTCCCGTGAGACTGGGCGCACCCCTCGGGGTGGTGGGGTCGTGTTAGCTCAGAATCACTCGGGGACCTCGCCCGCGACGCCGGCTTCGAATTTTAAACCCGCTTTTAAGGTTCTTTACGGACGTGTCACTCCTGCTGTTCCCCAAGCCCTCTTCGGTACAAGGCTTTACTCATAGGGCCTGTGAGAGGGGGTTCATTACAGGGTGGCTTGGGAGATAAACCACTGGCCTTGTAGTTGAATGACCTTTTCATTGGAAAGGGCCCGTGGAAAGAAACGCGGAGTTTCCTCCTGGCTGGCGTGGAGGTGGGGGTGGGGGGGCAGGTTTTGGGTTAGTTGCAGGAGAGCCGGCCAGTTGTGAAACTGGAAGGAATTAATGGGTGGATCCGCAGCCAAAACCAGCAGTTCCTGGACATTCTCCGGGCGACGGTTAGAAGCCTAGGCTCCGGAAATAGAAGCTTCCTAGGAAGGAATCCTGGGCGGGAGTGAACGTTAGTTCAGCATTTCCTGTGTGCCAGGTTTGCAACTACTGCATTGCCATGCAGTTGCATTGGAACAGGACATTTTAAGAAGTAGCTGCCATGATTTTCCTAACATTCCAGGCGAGGTCCTGTGTGTCAGAGGATACACAGCTGGGCAGGTTATCAGACTTGAACTCATCTTCCTCTACAATTGGTCATGAAATGTGCTCAAGGGCCGTGTTGGGCGGCAGAGTGTGCAGTTTAATAGAAAGCTTGGGAGAATGGGAATCATGAGTATTTTTTTTTTGTCCGTAGTCGCCTTCAGGGGAAAGATACCAGCCTGCCTCAGCAAGTGCAGAGAGAGGAGCCACTGCGCAACAGCAGGTACAGGTGTGCGCATGTGCTTTGCACTTGCGATGATTTCACACATTTGATTGCAGGAGACTATGGTTTCTTATCTCTGCTTCATTTCTTTTCTGGCATGATCTATGTGATCTTGGACAAGTTATTCAATCTCCCTAAGCCTCAAACCTCAAATTCCCTATCAGGATTCAAGGGGTGATACTAGGACCCACAGGTAAAGGGAAATTGAACTAATATAAGAAGATGCTTAAAAATAGTACCTGGCTGGTGGTATAAGTGTCTTTCATTATGAGTGAAGAGTAAATTTGTCATGGCCTGGTCTGTGCAGTATGTTTTTATCATAGGAGAGCCTCTTGAAATACTATTGCAGAATGAGGAACTGCACATGCTTTATATGCAGACAAATGAAGACTTGGTGATTTTTCTAACCTTGCAAAGCATGAGTAAGCCTAAATTCATTGTAATTGAAAACTATAAAGGGATAGTTAAATGAGAACGCATTTGGTTCAATAGTTAAGATTCTCCTATCTGTATCAGTAGTGCATGCTTTTTCCGTTTCCTTGAGACACATACATTCACAATACAAGACAGCTAGAACTAGACCGGGAGTGGTTTAGGTGCCAGCAAATCTGTGTTTTATTTCTCAGTAGAGTTCTTAGATGTGCAACCATGAAAATCTGGACCAAGCAGTCCAAAAAAAGTTTCTTAAAGATTTATTTATTGTTTGAAAGGCAAAATGACAGCAGCACAGGAAGATGGAGAGAAAGGCATCAATCTGAAATCCAATGATTCACTTCCTAAATGCCCGCAATAGCCAGGGCTGGTTCAGGCCGAAGCCACGAACGCAGAGCTCCACCTAGATCTCCCACGTCCATGGCAGGGACCTAAGTATGCTGCTTTCCCAGGCATATTAGCAAGATGCTAGATCAGAACCAGAGTGACCAGGACTTGAACCAGTGCTTGAATATGGAACATGGGCATATGCGTATACAGATTTGCAATGGCAGCTTCCTGTTCTAAAAATAGAACTTTGAAGTGATACCTGTTCACCATTTGCAATTTGCTTGTATGACTATGAAACTAAGTTTTCAATTAAGCCTGAATTGTGACATGGGATGTTTTGATGTAATTTTAAACAGCATAATTTTAGATGGTTTATGGATGAGCTTTGATATGTAAAACTTTGAAATCATGTTTTAAAAATACCACTGTATGTATATTTTCTCTGGAAATAAGTCTGTAACTTGTTAGATTAACAAAAGCATCAGAAAGATTATGAATTGCTCATATGTGATTGATAAAAATACATAAGTTAAGGATATCAAGTATGCCTTTTTATAAAGTCTGCTATTTCCCATTTTTCCCTGTCCTCAGCTGCAGGTGACTCCCACGAGGATTACAGAAAGAAATTATAAGCTGAGACCTCAGGCAAAGATCAACAGTAAACTTCTGGAAAGTGAGAATGGCTGTGGCCCTGGGCTGTGCAATCCAGGCGTCCTTGAATCAGGGCTCTGTGCTTCAGGAGTACGACACTGACTGTGAGGTCTTCCGGCAACGCTTCAGGCAGTTCCAGTATAGAGAAGCAGCCGGGCCTCACGAAGCTTTCAACAAACTCTGGGAGCTTTGCTGTCAATGGCTAAAGCCAAAAATGCGTTCTAAGGAACAAATCCTGGAATTGCTTGTGTTGGAGCAGTTTCTAACTATTTTGCCTACGGAGATAGAGACCTGGGTGAGGGAGCACTGCCCCGAGAATAGAGAAAGAGTTGTGTCACTAATAGAAGAGTTACAGAGAGAACTTGATGTACCAGAGCCACAGGTGAGAAAAGAGTGGGGGATCTTTCTTCTTGGGCCAAACAAAGTGGTCAAGGGAACAGAGTAGGGCAGACTTTTAGTGTTTGTCTTTACCCAGCCCCCAGATATGTTCATAGTCCTTTTCCTTTCTCTCTCTTGCTGGAATCAGCATGTCACTCTCTTGCTGGAATCAGCATGTCACTCACTCACCATACTATCAGGCCCAACCCCTTTGTAGAACACATGCTGAGTAATGTCCTCTTTAGTAGCTTCAAGAAATCTGTAGACTTCTACCCAGCTACCTACTTCCTAATTGCATACCTGCACCAACCTGAATTATGTTATTGCTCAGTGGCCTGTGCACTGAATCGGAACAGTGTCTGTTTGTAAGCATCCTAATAGCTGACAGTGGCCTTTCCTGTTCAAGGTTAGTTTTTAAAAAGTGAGAGAAATGACCTGCAAAGCCTTATGTGTTTACCCTGTGATTATGTACAGAAAAAGGTTGGGGACCCTGAATCATGCATGTATATTCGAGAGGGAACTAAGGCAAAGGGAATGTAGTTGGGATATGAATTAATACACACTTCTGCAAATATGTGATTGGACTCAACTATCACAGGAGAAATCCTGAAAGTTTTCTGTGGTCTGAATTTGTGTTTATAGCCACCGCACCTGCATGGCCAGTCATTCTGACTGCCCTGCTCCAAAACTGTGAGCGGTGTACCCGCTCTTCATCTGATTTTCCAAAGGGGCAAAAAAGTCTGGGTACAAGCGAGCTGTAAGCTGTGAAATGTTCCTTTAATTGTCCTAGTGCCACATTGCTTGAAAATTCAAGTCATGCTTCAATTGCTAGAACTAGCCCATCTTTATCTTATCAGTAGGTTGCATTCTTGGGAGGTTCTCTTTGCCTCCATGAGTATTTGAAGGGGACATTTCACAATTTGTAGGGACCTGCAACAATGCTGCATTGTGGAAGATACTTGCATCTCTGGTACAGTATATTCTTATTCCTATAACCTGCCAGTATATCCACAATGCCATGGGTCTTGGAGCACTTCGCTCTGTTCAGAATACCTGGTCGCATAAGGCCTAGGAGGTAAAAAAAAAAAAAGAAAAGAAAAAAAGAAAAGAAAAAAAAAAGAAAAAAGGGCCCTCAGCTTCGGGAAAAGCTGGTCTTGCAGAGAACAGAGGTTCTGCGGGAGTTATTACCTTCTGTGCAGACAGCTGGTCTGAATGGGAGCCAGCAGAGGAGTTAAGGGTTTATTTCTGCCTTGTCAGTTTTGTTTTCTGAAGTTTTTATCTTCACATGGGCTAGACCTGGATTTTCCACTATAGAAGCCACTGGTTTTGGAGGCATACAAACATACAGCACATGCAGAAGATATAGTAAGAAAGAAAATATAGTGGGTAAAATATCTCACTAATAATTGCTTATGTTAATTACTTGCTGAAATCTTAATACTTTGCATTGGATTAGGTAAGACACTAAGGTTGACTTTGTGTATTCTTTAAATTGTACTCATGTAACCACTGGGTAATATAAAATAATGTATAGCTCACATTAAATTTCTGCTGGTCTTAAGTTTCTGATTGCTATAAATGAGAGAATGATGGATTTGTGTCTCACAGGTGGACATGCAGGACATGCTTTTGGAAGAACTGACACCAGTGGGAATGGAACCTATGCCGCCAAATGTGCACCTAGAATCGCCTGAGCTCCAGGTCATGGCACCTGTCCAGGAGGCCTCAGTGACAGAGCCCTGGATCACACAGGCAGGACCTCAAGAGCTGAACTATGGTGCTGCTGAAGAATGCCAGCCCTTTCTGGACCCTGGTAAGGCAAGAATTTCCTATCATTTCTTTTGTTTCTGTTTTTAAAGAAAAGTCTTTTTGTTTATTTGTCTAAAGTGAACAGATTTCACATATTTCACAATGCAAATGTAGCAGCACAGTGATACTTCTCACACTGCCCTCCACATAACCCACATAGCCTCACCCCCCACCAAAGACTTCTCTTTCCTTATATCTGTTTGTTTTTCTAACTTTTACAGTAGCATATTTTCATTTCACTTCACAATCACAGGCTAGATATTCCATTAGGTAAACATATCAACATATAGCAGGTAGATGATTAAATGTAAAGAAAAGTAGAACCCTGCTATTCCTCATGAGTATAGACATATATGGCTTTTCTTCACAGCTTGTTATTGTAATGTATCGATTTATGTATGTTGAACCATCCCTCCATAGCAGGAATAAATCCCACTCGGTCTGAGCAAATAATCTGTCTGATGTGTTGTTGGATTTGATTACCTACAGTTTTGTGGAGGATTTTTAGATCTATGTTCATCAGGGATAATGGTCTCTTTTCTCTTTTTATTCTTTTTGTGGTTTGGGATTCAAAGTGATGCTGCCCTCATAGAAAGAGTTAGGGAGGATTCCCTTTCAGTTTTTTTGACTAGTTTGAGATGAACTGTAATTGGATCTTGAAAAGTTTACTATAATTCAGCAATGAAGCTATCAGATCCTGGGTTTTACTTTGTTGGGAGTGTCTTTAGTACTGATTCAATCTCCAACTTGGTTATTGGTCTGTTTAGGTTTTCTGTCATCCTGACTCAACTTAGGTAGATTGTATGTTCGTAAATCTGTCCATTTCTTCTGCATTTTCCAATTTGATGGCATGTAGCTTTCTGTTGTGATTCCTGATGAATCTTTGTATATCTGTGGTGACTGTTGTTTTATCCCTCCTTTCCTTTTGTGATTTTTATTAATTTTGGTTTTCCTCCTTTTTTTCTGGTTAATTTGGGCAATGGTCGATCAATTTTGTTTATTTTTCCAAAAAGCCAGTTTTTCAATTCACTGATTTTTTTATATATATGTTTTTGTTTCAACATGTGTATTTCTTCTCTTCTGTAATTATTTCCTTCTTCCTACTAACTTTGGGTTTGGTTTTGCTTTTTCTAGGTCCTTGAGATGCCTTGATTGGTTATTTATTTGATGCCTTTCTTGCATCTGGTTTTTTTTTCCTAAAGGATTTATTTATTTTTCTCTAGAAAGGCAGATATATAGAGAGAAGGAGACAGAGAAACATCTTCCATCTATTGGTACACTTCCCCTGTGGCTACAATGGTCAAAACTGAGCTGATCCTAAACCAGGATCCAGGAGCTTCTTCTGGGTCTCTTTATGTGGGTGCAGGGTACTAATGACTTAGGCCATCCTCCACTACTTTCCCACACCATAAGCAGCAAGCTGGATCAGAAGCAGAGCAGCTGGGACATGAACTGGCACCCATACGGGATGCCCACGCTAAAGGACAGAGGATTAGCCTACTGTGTCACTGCATGTGCCCCACTAGGAGATTTTCTACTTTCACAGTCTCTATTTCTGTGTGTAGCATATCTTTATTATCATTTACAGGGTTGGGTGGGTGGTGGCAAATTCTTTAAATTTCTGTTTGTTTTGCAATGTCTTAGATTCTGTTTTTTGTGTAAATAAGAGATTTGCTAGGATGATCTTGAGTTGTTTTCTTTTCTTTAGGACGTGGGCTGTGTCTCTATTTTCTTCTAGCCTGTAGGGTTTGATAAAAAATCAGCTATTAGTCTAATTAGGGACCTTCTGAAGGTAAACAGGAGTTTCTCTCATACACTTTTTTATTATTTCCTATTTCTGATCCTGCCTAATAGGAGTTCTTTGTGCTTCCTGCACATGGGTGTCCCTTTCTTTCTCCATGTGAGGAAAGTTGTCTACTATTTTGCTGAATAGGCCTTCTAGTTCATTCTTTATTCACGTTCAGAAATTCCTGACATATAAATGTTTGGTTATCTGATAATAACCCGTAAATCTTGAACACTGCTTTTCAAAAATCTTTGTGCCAAAATGAACTTACCTTTTAATTCTGTTTTCCTTAAACTTTTTGAGTTCCTATATAGGATATTGTTATTTATGTTCCAATGTTTGTATCACCTACATTTCAAAGTTTGTTAGCACATACTAAAAAATCTTTACTTGTTTATATGCTTTATGCCTGAAGAAAATAGTAAAACATAGCTAGTATTACTTAATTGCAATTCTGTCTACTTTTAAATTCTTATTGTTAATTTGCTCTTTTTTCAACATTGTAGGTAACTAAAAAATATCACCAATATTTATCTTGGATTAATATTTTATGCTCTGAAACAAATAGAAATTAACTGAATTTTTAAAAGGTAGATAGATTTATTAATGAATCAAGTATAAAATATAAATTTGGAGGGAAGGAAATGAACCCTACTGTCATAATTGTTTAAAGTAATATAAAATGCTTTGCAAAATAATGTAAATCTTGGTGTTCTTCATGTTAGCTTAACCTTTTAAAGTTTTTATTTTTTCTAATTAAAACATCTTTGGTTTACGGAGATACTTCTCAAAATTCCTGGAAACGTGTATAATGGAAAAAGTATGCGTTTTGTAATTTATATTTATTCAGTTTGTAACACCAAACAATTTCCCATCAGGTAATATCTAACTCATTACTATAGAAATGGCTTTCTTGGTGCAGCAGAGACTTCATGATATAATCTCTGTTGATGGGGCTCAGTACATGTCATTCCTGAGCATAGGATAGGGGGTGGTAGTCTCAATGAAGCACCTTCTTTGTTAAGCAGCAATTGCTCTTTTGTTTGTAGTGAATCAGGTAATAAATTGCCCCTAAAACTTAACAGCTTAAAGTCGTTAGGAATTTGGGAGTTCTGGGTGTTTCTGGCTCAACAGTTTTTCTCATAGTTGCTGTCAAGATGTCACCTGTAGCTAGCAAGAACCTTCAGTTCCTTGCCTAAGGGAACTTTACCATAGGCTGCTTGTTTGTTCTCCTGATAGATCAGCAGGCTTGCCCTGTAGGCCAAAACTTACTCAAGGGGAAAGCAAGGAGCTTGCTGCAATGCTGTCTTTTTTTTTTTTTAATTGAAAGGCAGATTTACAGAGAGAAGGAGAGACACAAAGAAAGATATCTTCCATCCACTAGTTCACTTCCCAAATGGCCACAACTGCCAGAGCCGAGCCAATCTAAAACCAAGAGTAAGGAACCAGGAATTTCTTTCAAGTCTTCCACCTTGGTTAGAGTGGCCCAAGGACTTGAGCAATCCTGTGCTGCCTTCCTAGACCATAATCAGGGAGCTGGATTTGAAATGAAACCAGCCAGAATATGAGCTGCACCCATATGGAATGCTAGTGCTTGAAGCCTGTTAATCCACTGCACCAGCCCCACAACAGTACTTCAGTAACTGGGTCACACACCATCGTTTCTGTGGTAGTCTATAATTGGAAGAAAATTGCTAAGTCCAATTCACACCCCAGGGGAGAGAAAATAAATATCCACCTGTCAAAAGGAAGAATATCAATAAATTTGGGAACATGTTTTCAATTATGCAACCTGTGCTTCCATGGCCCTGCTGGGTTTTTTTTTGTTTGTTTGTTTGTTTGTTTTTAGATTGTTTTATTTAATTGAAAGGCAGTGTTAGAGAGCAAGAAAGAAGCTGAAACAGAGACAGAGAGAAGTCTTCTATCCACTGGTTTACTCCCCAAATGGCTGTGACACCTGGGGCTGATCCAGGATGAAGCCAAGAGCCTGACACTCTATCCTGGTCTCCCCTATGGCTCTAAGAGGCCCAAGTATCTGAGCCAGCATCAGCTGCTTTTCCAGATACATTAGCAAGGAACTGTGTCAGAAATGGAGCAGCTGGGCCTGGCGTGGTGGCCTAGTGCCTAAAGTCCTCGCCTTGAACACATCAGGATCCCATATGAGCACCAGTTCTAATCCCAGCAGCTCCACTTTCCCATCCAGCTCCCTGCTTGTGGCCTGGGAAAGCAGTCAAGCACAGCCCAAAGCCTTGGGACCCTGCACCCATGTGGGAGACGTTGAGGGGATTCCTGGCTCCTGCCTTCTGATCGGCACAGCACCGGCCATTGTGGCTACTTTGGGAGTGAATCATCAGACGGAAGATCTTTCCCTGTCTCTCCTCATCTCTGTATATCTGACATTTCAATAAAAAATAAATAAATCTTTAAAAAAGAAGGAAATAGAGCAGCTGGGACTTAAACTCGTATTCATATAGCATGCTGGCATTGCAGCCAGTTGCCTAGCCAGTGTACCACAATGCTGGGAGGAAAGGGAAGCCTTTTGGAGATGGCATTAGGAGTATAATGCTGGGGATGAGGACCCACAGTGAAAGTACCCAAGCCGGGCCCGGCGCGGTGGCGCAAGTGGTTAAAGGTCCTCGCCTTGCACGCCCGGGATCCCATATGGGCGCCGGTTCTAATCCCGGCAGCCCCGCTTCCCTTCCAGCTCCCTGCCTGTGGCCTGGGAAAGCAGTCGAGGAAGGCCCAAAGCCTTGGGACCCTGCACCCATGTGGGAGACCCGGAGGAGGCTCCTGGCTTCGGATTGGCATAGTATCGACCCGTTGCGCTCACTTGGGGAGTGAATCATGGGACGGAAGATCTTCCTCTCTGTCTCTCCTCTCTGTATATCTGCCTTTCCAATAAAAAAAATAATAATAATAAAAAAAAAAAAAGAAAGTACCCAAGCCTTCTTGTTTGCTGCTGTACAGAAAATAGTAACCCAAAATGGAGATCAAACAAGATGTGCATGAGACACACCCGCCTGACATTTTGACTAAGTTAAAGTTTCCTTTTATCTCAAGGATCAGGGCTCTGGATCTGGTTTCAAAGCACCATTTAGTGAAAAATGCAACCTGACGGCTTCAGTTGGGGAGTGAATCAGCAGATGGGAGATCTTCCTCTCTGTCCTCCTCCTCTCTGTATATCTGACTTTGCAATTGAAAAAAAAAAAAAAACTTTC